CCCCGGCGCGCCCGGGCCGCGCTCGGGGCCGGGCCGGGCCGGGGCGGAGGAGGAGCAGCAGCAGCAGCAGCAGCAGCGGCGGGATCGGGATCGGAGCGGGGCAGCGGCGGCCCCTGCTCGGCCCCTCCTGGCCGCCATGAGCGCCGGGCAGGCCGCGGGGGAGGCGGCGGCGGCCCCGGCGCTGCCCAGGGTGCTTTCGGCGCTGTTCTACGGGACGTGCTCCTTCCTCATCGTGCTGGTCAACAAGGCGCTGCTCAGCGCCTACAGGTGAGCTCAGCCTGCCAGGTGAGGGCCGGGCCCGCTCGGTCCCGGGCTCCCCGGCTCGCACCGACCCGTGCCGGGATGTTCCGCCCCGCGGGCCCTGGTCCCGCGGCTGTGCCTCCCGAACGGACTTGTTGCCTTCCTTCTTCTTTTTCAGAGATGAAAAGTGAACCTCGTAAAACTGCTTAGTCGTAAAAACACTGAAAGTGTTTTGAGTTGACGGGGCTAATTCCCATCGCTCCACATCCCGCGATGTGGGATCGTTGTGATAATTGGCATCGTGTAAAGCATTAACTGCAAACCTCTTGCGCTTTCCATTCTCTTGCAGCTCGGGAAACAGAGGAACTTGAGCATTCCTCTCCAATTCCTTTGCCAATCTGGATTAACACTTGGACTTCGATGATTCTCGTGGGTCCCTTCCAACTCAGGATATTCTGTGACTGTCACGTGGCTGTGATTTTTCTCACCATTAATATATTTTACTTTATCTTTGCTCTAGTTTTGCTGTGGTTTAGCTCATGATGTACCAAAATCAGAACAAGGAAAAAAAACAAAAGGAAAAAGAAAAGTTTGAAAGCCAAGCCGGCTGTTATTTTCTAACATTCGCTGCTGTTGGAACACACAGGAACTGTATATAACATCTCTCAGTGTGCAGATGGAGAATGGCCAGTTACTGCCATACTTTGAGTAGTTTTAACTTGATGTACATTTGGGGGGGGGAAATGGAGACACTCAGGCTTTTCAGGTGTTCTGCTAAAGTTTCTGCCTTCCTAACTTTTGAGTATCTGAATCCAGGGATATCCAGGGACCTGTGGTGTGGATGTTAATTAGTATTATTAGTATACTTAGTATTATTAATATTATTAGTATTACTAATAATTAGTTCTCTAGAACTAATAATTTAGTATCCAGGGAGGCTGGTCAGTCTCCCTTCAGTGCCTGGCAAGATCACAGAGCAGGTCCTCTTGGAAACTGTGCTAAGGGACATGATAAATAAGGAGGTGATTTGGCTGCACAAAGGGCAAATCATGCCTTGACAAATCTGGGAGCCTTCTACAACGGGATTACAGCAGTGGTGGATGAGGGAAGGGCGCCTGGACTTGTGCAGAGTACTTGACCACATGGCATTCCTTGTCTCTAAGCTGGAGAGACGTGGATTTGGTGGATGGACCACTGAGTGGATGAGGAATTGGCTGGATGGTCGCAGTCAAAGAGCTGCAGTCAACGGCTCAGTGTCCAAGTGGAGGGTGATGAGTGTTGTCCTTGGAGACAGGTGTTGGGACTGGCGCTGTTTAATGTCTTTGTTGGTGATGTGGAGGCTGGGATCAAGTGCAGATTTGTGTGGTTGACACACTGGAGGAAAGGGATGACACCCAGAGGGACCTTGGCAGCCTCGAGAGGTGGGCCTGTGTGGTGCTCGTGAAGTTCAGCCAGGCCAAGTGCAAGGTCCTGCCCCTGGGTTGAGGCAATCCCAAGCACACATACAGCCTGGGAGGAGAATGGATTCAGACTAGCCCTGGGGAGAAAAGCTTGGGGTTTGTGGACAAAAAGCTTAATATGAGCAGGCAATGTGTGCTTGCATCCCAAAAGGCCACTTGTATCCTGGCCTGCATCAAAAGGGGCATGAGCAGCAGGTCCAGGGGGGGGATTCTCCCTCCTCTGCTCTGATGAGGCCCCACTGGAGGGCTGTGTCCAGGTCTTGGACCTCCAGCACAAGGAGGAGCTGGAATGAGTCCAGAGGAGGACCACTAAACTTATCACAGGGCTGGAGCACCTCTGCTGTGAAGACAGGCTGAGGGAATTGGGGTTGTTCAGACTGGAGAAGATTCTGAGACATTATTGTGGCCTTCCAGTACCTTAAGGGGGCTACAAGAGAGCTGGAGAAGGACTTTTTACAAAGGCATGTGGTGATAGGACAAAGGGGGAAGGCCTTAAGCTGAAAGAGGCAGGTTTATATTAATATTAGGAAGAAATTCTTTACTGTGAGGATGGTGAGGTACTAGGACAGGTTGTCCAGAGAGGCTGTGACTCTCCATCCCTGGAGCTGTTCAAGACCAGGCTGGATGAGGCTCTGGGCAACCTGGAATAGTGGAAGGTGTCCCTGCTCATGACAGGGAACTGCAACGAGATGATCTTTAAGGCCCCTTCCAATCCAAACCATTTTATGATTCTATCCATGCTTTCAGCTAAAGCTAACTGAAGCTGAAGGGAATGGTAGGATTTGGTAGGAATGTAGCCCTTTAGCAGACAAGGGATGTTCCTACAACATTTACCCAGGAATCTGATTTTCACAAAAACATATTACTAGTGCATTTGGACTGCAGAGATAAGCTTCCAAGTTAGGGCAAGTGCAAGAGATTTAAGTTACTGTACCTTCTCAGAATGCATAATTTGTATGTGAGGCCACTCAAAAAATGATGCATTGTTAAAGAGTTCACCAAGTGTGTTACCTTCACTTACAAATGTCCCCCAAACTATTAGCAGTTTAGAATTGATGGCCTGTGCATTTCCAATATTATCTGGATTGTGTTTTGCTGCATAAATAAAATATCAGGACTACAATAAGTGTAGTCCTGAGCACTTCTGAAACACAGGCTGGTCATTCCGTCAGTTGTTGATTTTGGTATTAAATTTAAACTTTTTTTTTCCTAATTGTTGTTTTTCCATTCCTCAGTATTAAATATCTCTTAATGCTTTTCAGCTTCCCATCACCAGTGTTTCTTGGAATTGGACAGGTATGTTCACAAGTAAAGCATACTTTACATATTCATTATTTTTTAAGTTAAACTAATGAAAATAGAGTTAGATTTTAGAGGGCGTAAATCCCAGTTATACTGAACTGCTTGTCTTCTGGATTAGATAGACTGGAAGGAACTGTAATTTGCTTTATGGAGAACTGGGAAGTTGTAAGTTCAAGTCAAAATTATTGCCTGAAAAGAGTCACATAAAAGACTGGAAATGCCATTTATTTCTCCTTGAGAAGCTCAGTAATTAGGAGATCAGGCCTTCAAAACTGCTAAGGTTTGTTCTAGAAAGTGCATACATCCTGTAAGAGTCCTTGAGCATTTGTGGATTATATTAGATATTGCCCCTCTTTGTAGCAAAACCATGTATTTCCTCATAAATATGTCCCCCATCTCCTAACAGTTTTCCAATAGCACCAAAATTTTGATTCTCTGTTGCTTTATTTGCAAGTCACAGTGCTGCAGCAGAAATGTTTTTTATTATTTTTGTTGTCAGTAATAAAACAAAATAAAAAAAAGTTCAAATGTTTGCAGGCGTGGTCCATAAAGAAGAATGTGTGACTGCAGAGGGATCACTGGGAAAGACAGAGCCTTGAAGCAAGCTTTTTTTTATTTAGGCAAATACATTTTAAAGAGGATTTGCTTTCTGCCAGGGTTACATGCCAGGGGGTAGTGAGGAAGAGGTTAAAATATGGCCTGACGTCTCTGCTGTTTGGTGCTGGAGACACTAAAATGTCTTGTAAAGTCTTTGTAAGTGGGAGGAAGAGTTTTACACACCCAGGCTGCTCAAGGAACCACAGATCATGTTTCAGTGGAAGACTACAAAATGCAGCAATAATCCATGTGATGCTGTGGCTCTGTTTCATTGCAGAACCTAAGGCTTAATGGCATTTCCTTTTTTTTTTGTTGACTGATCCTTCCAAGATTTCCCTGCACACTTTGTGAAGTGCATAAAATATGGTATAATTCTGCTTTAGTCTGCAGAACATGACTCCACTGCATTCTCTAAATATTCAACTACTGTACTTTTGTACAAGGAAAATTTTACCTTTTTTTTTACTCTCTGAGGACAGCATTAACACTTGTGGTGTGATATGTGATTGCTAAGATATTCACCTTCATTCTGTCTGTATCTGTATTATGTCTTCCTGATACTGTCTACAGACTGATCAATGCACAGCCACTGTCTTGCATTACCAAAAACAAAGCTTTAGGAGTGGTTTTGCAGACTAAACAACTCTTTGAGTAAAAATCTCGTGGTTAATCTGGGATTGTGTCCTGTTTTATTTTTCAGCTCCCTCTCAACATGCACTGTTTCACAGAGTGCCACCAATTTTCTTCAGATAGGAAAGTGCATGTGTATATTTTGCTTTTAAATAAATAGCTGGCAAAATTGGTAAGAATAAAGTCATTTCAGTTTGTTAATTGCATGCTGTGTTGTTCTTTGAGAGAAATACATAATACATAGCATTTGTTAATTGCATGTAAAGGTTTTGTCTTTGAAGCAGTTCTTTTATTCATACATTACAATTTTGCTCTTACATGACTTCTCTTGTTTTTTCTTTTTGTTTAGATGGCAGCCACTATACTTATCTTGTATGTGTCAAAATTAAATAATATTGTTCACTTCCCTGATTTTGACAAAAGTATACCTGTGAAGGTAAGAATTACCTATGTCCTGATATTAATAGCAAGGAGTTATTTCTTATAGTGGCATTCTTTCCTATGCAGACAAAAAAAAATTACATTTGTTTGTCAAGTGGGATTTTTGTATCTATGTTTCGTTTAATATTGAATTTGGTAGTTTTAAATTCTTTGCAATATTCTCGTGTGTTTGGGCTGTAGGGATAAGCTCTGTTTGCAGAGAAACCTGGTGCCATCTGGTTATGGAGTAGATGGGAAAGGGTGCTGTACCTTCATACAGCTGGATGAACCCTTTCATATTCCAGAAGTGTTTTCCTGATGTATACAGCTCTCTGTGGGATCAATGGGAGATAGGAGTTTGTGACAAAGACTTTTGCACCCAGCATGAAGGGAGAAGGGCTGCTTGGAAATCTGAATGGAGCACGTGATGAAACAATAGGAAAAGAACACGTGATAGATGAAAAGCCTGAACAACAGTTGACTCCAAATGTAAGATTTATGTTCCATAGGAGGGGCTAAGATAATGCCCACTGAAAATACTGCAGGTAGCAGCTGGGTGCATTGTACAGACCTTAAGTGTATATGGTCTAAAGAAGCAGGCCAGAGCAAATAGGAGAGGATCTCCTGTTACCTCAGTTTGGGAACCAGGATGTGAAATGGCTGCAGCAATGATCCTTGTAGATTTTTGCATCAATGTGCAACGTTGCTGGAGTTTTACTCTGATGCCTTAGCCTGTGAATTTAGGTCTCGCTGCATGGTGTTGGTTGGTGTTTGCTCAGAGGTACAGAGGTGGTTTCCTGTATCTTTTCAAGCCAGCATCTTCATTGCAGAATCTTGTCTTGTCCACGTGAGGTTTTCTCTGGACGTCTTGCAGACTTGTTCACTCTTAATGCAGGTTGAAATCATTGGCATTTCTGCGTGTAAAAGGTCTTGGAGGAAAATCTGTGGTGTCAATCATAAAATGGACAGTCCTTCTTTATTCCAGAATAAGAAATAAGAAGGTTTCCCAGAGGATAGACTTACTGAGACCTTGAGAAGTTCCTTCCCTCCACCTCCCTCAGTCCCACTGTGCTCCCTCTCTGCTGTTGCCTTCACTTTAATGTCAGGACAAAGGCACTAGCACAGCACAGCTCCCATTTTCTTTATCCCAGTAATATCTGTCCTTTGGAAGACTTCCCTGGATGGACTGTAGCACCCAGGACTTTCATATTGCTTGTAGTGCTGGATTTGACCAGTCACAGTGAATCAGCTGGATTGTTCATTGCTTATTTATTTGCTTTTTAAATAACCCTTAGACCAGCTCTTCATCCTTTTGACAACTTCTCCTTTGACACTAAGATAATCATTACTTTTCACTCCTGTAATGGTTTATGTCTTCAGTGCTTTCAGCTAGAGTTTTAAAGTAGTGAAATGCTTATTTTAGCAAAGAAGCTTTGGAGTTCTTGACCCTTTTTAAGTATATGATTTACTTGTCTCTGGTGTCGTGCTGGATGTTGTAATTTTGTCTTTATAATGGATGAGTTTCAGAGGAAAGATAATATAATGTCCTCCCTGTGTTCGGTCTATAAATGAAATAAACCAAAATGTTCCAAAAAAAGTCTGCAAAAGAGATAGTGCATTACAAAATTTTTGCAAACTTATGTTGACAAGCTGCATATTTATTGTTACTTATGCTCCTGCTTTCTTTATAGTCCTAACTTTTACTGTTACTTTCACTTAAAAGTTAACTTCGGTTAACTATAGTTAACTTTTACTTCACTTTTCTTCTCACCTGCTGTAAAAGAAATGCAGAATTTTTAACATAGATAAAATGCAGCCCACTTCTCTGTGTGCTTTTCCAGCAGACCACATTTTATCTCCTGAAGCTTGTGTAGGAACAGCAGCAGTTATTAGGATAGAGGTCTGTTTTGTCTTCCTGCCATTCCAGCTCCACCTGACTGACAGTGAATGGGACTGACTGCACACACTACCTTTGTCCCCATTGATTACTTTAGTTGGTTTTTGTCCTCTGCAAATTCCAGCCTCACCCCTTCTCTGACACTGCAATTTTTCTGTAACAGGAAAATAAACAGCTTTGAATTGCAGCTGAGTATTGTGTGGAGATCCCTTGGCTTCTTTTCTTAAGGCTCTGAAGTTCTGTTATTTTTTTCTCTGTATTGCAAGTCAGTCTCTTTATGCTAGAAGAGTTTAATTTACCCCTAAATACTTATCTTTCCTTTCTAATGTCTTGCATAACATGATTTGTTGGGTAGATCTACAATGTTGTAACTTCCAGGCTTACTAATATATGTGGAGTCTGTAGAGAAGCACAGCATACTTACAGTTTATTCGTTGTTTTATGCCACCTGTTCACTTGCTTATTTAGCTACTGTTATTAGTATTTATACCTAAAATTAAATATTAGAGTGGGTATTAATCTGAGGATTATAGTAATTAAAATAAAACTGACCAATGTTTACTCTAAATGGAGTCTAAGTCCTATTAGAGGTAGATTTCAACTCTTCTAATGAATCAGTGAATCTGTGGTTGTGAATGGTCACATAAATTTGAGCTGCAAATGAGTTTGCAGCATAGTCACATTTTTTCCCCTCAAAAAAAACCCCTCTTTCTTGCTAAAAGTACATCTGATATGGGTACCAAATTCTATCAAGTAAAGTTTCTCAGCAGTGCTTCAACACATAATAATCTGAATTGTGCTTTTAATTTTATCACAGTTGTTTCCTCTGCCTCTGATTTATGTTGGAAACCACATAAGTGGATTATCAAGTACCAGCAAACTCAGGTACAGTAAATGGAAGTTATAAGTAGACTGTTTTTTCTCTTGTGAGGTAAAAGACTTTTCTCTTGTGAGGTAAAAAGCAAACACTAAAGGAGAGCATTGGGTAGGGCCTTAAATGCATGTGGTGTCTGTCTGTCTCTCTAAACCCCTTGTGCTGTTGGGAAATTCTTACCCAATCAATTGATCTGTTTACAAGGTGCCTGCTTCTTTTAAAAGGAGCTTAGCCAGGCCTGTACTGCCGTAAAAATCACAATTTTTCTATGTGACCATGGAAGTGCTTCCACTTTCCCCTCACACCCAAGTGCCCAGCTTTTCATGGGCGTCCTAACCAGAGAGCTGGAAAACTCCTGAGATGTTTCTGAAGGAAGAAGCATAAGGTAAAGAGGTAGCATGATGTCATTGGAGGTATTTAGGAATCACCAAGAGGTGGGAGAATTGCTGGGTAGTGGGGTGGTCATAGAGCCCCAAAAGTAGGTTTTTAGGGGGCGTTGCTGAAGGGCTCCCAGACTCCTGTGTGCCTGTCAGCATGGATTAGTGAGAGTTGCTTCCACACTGGTGCTAAAAAGGTGCAAGTTATGTGCCCAGCATAGATTGAATGACCAAATTTCCTGTGGAAGAGGAAGGCAGGAACGTGGTGGCTGCATGGGGACTGGGGGATGATGCACTGCCATTGGGGTGGTTCTTTATGTGTTACTGCAGGCTCCTAGGGTTCTTTTTGTTGCAAGCTAAACCAAAACAGGGAATTTTGCAGGTTTATTGCTTTTCCTAACTTTGAGAGAGATGCTGGGAAAGAAATAGAATCATAGAACCATAGAATTGTCAAGGCTGGAAGAGATCTTTAAGATCATGAAGTCCAACTGTCAACCCAGCAGTACCACTGCAACCCCTGAACCACTAAACCACATCACCCAGAGCCAGATCCAGATGCCTCTTGAACACCTCCAGGGGTGATGAATCCACCACCCACCTCCCTGGGCAACCTATTCCAATGCCTGACCACCCTAACAGTAAAAAAATTTGTTCTAATATCTGATCTGAATCTCCCCTGTCTCACCTTAAGGACATTTCCACTTGTCCTCTCACTGCAGGCACAGCAGAAGAGACCAGCCCCCACCTCACTACCACCTCCTTTCAGGTAGTTGTAGAGAGCAACGAGGTCCCCCATGTATGACTTTTAACTTGTTTACATTTCTTTTTATTTCTTTTTATTGTTTACATTTCTATTTATTAATTCTCTGTAATTGGAGAATTAATTTTCTCCAGCTAGGAACAGTAGATGCCTGATTCTGCAACTTTTTGTTGTATGCACTCAGAAGTTGTTCCACTGAAGTGACTGTTCAGGCAGACATAAAGACTTAGGCAGTGCTGTCCCTGGCAGCACTTCAGCCATTGTGAATGTGAAAGCAATTCCAATCCTGTAAAAGTTTGATTCGTGGGTTTTTCTTTCACTTTCCCCCTGACTGTAATTTTAAATGTTTAGTAGGGTATTCTAAACATAAGTGCACCATCTCCCTCTCCTGTGGCTGATATACCTCTCTTGGATTTACTGTTCACAATTAATTTTTATAACAGAAAAATAAAAATGGCTGCAGTGTTCCTGCCATTAACCTTTTGTTACAGCACATTTTGTTACGATATGTGACATTTGTTTATGCTGTGGAATTCTCCAGCTAGTTTGGGCTGTCTGGAAGGTGTAGATGATCCAATGCATAACTCAAAAATATCTGTTTTAAACTGATAAAACCCTGTGTTAGGATTTGTATCGTTTATTAATGCAGTTGGTAATAGCTGTCTTAAGCAGAGGATTAATTGGTCCATATGGCCATGCTGTCAGATTTCCAAAGTCAGATGCGTTTTCTCAATCAAAAAGATTTCCAACTGCATTACTTCATGAAGATCAACCATATGTTGCTGAAAAGTGACAGTTTGGTAGTTGCAGCTGGTCCCACCTTTCATGTTTCTTGTACTTGCTCTGATATTTTTTGCCATGGATTTGTTTTACTTTTTTGAAGGTACATCTTGTTTACTAAGCATGTTTTCTTTGTATTTTATTTCTTTTACATGTTTTCAGAGACAGGTTTATTGTCAATCCCCTAAGTTTATAATAGAAATAATTTTTACTTAACCCTGCTCATGAATTTTGAAAAAAAAAATTTCATGGGGTTATGCTAGGTAGAAAATATCTATTAAATTCCATTTCACGAATGCAGAGGGACCTTTAGATGGTAGCCAGTTGCACTGGCTTACAAATTATCAAAGCTTGTTATTTTTCAACAATTTGGTTATCTAATCTGTGTCTAATGTCAGACTGATGCTAAGTGACTGGATATTTGTTTTGGTTTTTTACTGCTGGACTAATGGTTCCATCTTCTGTTTAGTAAAATAAGAATTAGAACATAAGAATGTTGTTAATCTGATATTATGCTTGGATTTTTATTTTGTTTTTTTGACAGTTTGCCGATGTTTACAGTGCTCAGGAAGTTTACCATTCCACTTACTTTACTGCTGGAAATCATCATACTTGGGTGATCCTTTTTGTTTTGTTTTGTTTCTTTTTCATTTAAGATACCTTTATTTTAGATCATATCAAATGGATTACTTGTGACAGCTCATCAGAATATTGATTGAGTGATTTGTGCTGACAAATAGAGAAAAGCAAAGAAAGTGGGGGTTTTTTAAGACACAAATACATAGATTTTAGTGAATGCAGAAAAAAAAATCTTGCTTTCATTTAGACATCTCTCTTGGCTGTTGTTGCACAGGATTCAGGTAAGCAGACACGACTCAGACACTTTTAATCTCGTCTGGAAGGCCCCTAATCTGCAAACTGCTTCAAACAAACAAGTCCTTACGTCTCAAAACAGTGGTGATAGTATAAATACACATTATTTTGTCTACATCTTCATAGTTCTATCCACATGGCTGGTGGTGGATTAAGATGAAGCCACAAGGGGAAAAAAAAACTTGCTGAAGCTGAACCCAGGCAACAAGAGAGTGATGGTCAAGCTTTCCAGAAGGCCCCCAAGTAGACTTGTCATCTCCTTTTGGCTGAAGCAGCAGCTGATCAGTGTGGCTCATATTTGGAGATGCTCTGGTATTCTTTGCAGTTGTAAGTTCTCACAGGGAAAGCAGAACTTGCTGAGTCTGAAGACTCCCACAGGCACGTGAGGAAAAATAAGTCAGTGAGATTGTCAGATGTGCTCTGCAGCCACGTGTCTGTGAGTGCAAGCAGCATCCCAACATCCCTCCTAGGGGAAGCTTAGGAGCCTAGGACAGTGTTTTTCCTCAGGGCTGAAGATGAAAGGACTCCAGAGAGCCTGTGCAGGTTTATGTCAGGCCTTGAAAAACAGTCAAGGTATGGCTTGTTACTGTTATGATCAAAGATTAATATGTCCAGAGCCTCCATACAGCTTTATTGTTGGGACCATGATCCATGGCTGGGCTCCTTTGACACACGGGATTTCTCCAAGAGCATTTTTCCAAGAGCACTGTAGGTTTTGTTTTGATGGATCTCCTCTCTCAGGCTAGCCTGGCAGACTAAGGACTAGGGAGATGCCTCTAAGGCATATCATATGTGGTGTGAAAAATGAGCACTTAAGGCATTTCCAAACACAGTAATGTAGATATATAAAAGAAAGAACAGTTTTACACAATGCTTTTCACTGCTTTGTGGCAGCACTGTGGTAGTGAAGAATATCATAAGCTCTGTGCTTTCCCTTTCATGTACCAAGTTTCAGTTTGACTTCAAAATAAGTATCTGTTTGAAAAACAGCCCAGATAATGTGTTGTACGGCATCTTCCCCAGGAAAGGTGATATGAAAAACTACCTGAGAGATATACAGTGATTTTCCCTTATTGGATTGCTGCAAGACACTGCAGTATGTCCATTATGAATACCAATATGCATTAAATTGGTTTATTCCAGCGCTGTTCCTTGAAACCTTTAGTATTTACTTCTGTGATTATCCAGTAGCAGAATGCTCATGGTGCTTTTTCAGTCTCTGTTCTGAGGGGCCAAGGTCTGACAGCGTGGCACGTGGGCAACCACGTTGCTTCTGTCAGGTTATCAAGACTTTGCCCTCCTGTCAAATGTTCTGTGACTACTAATTGCTTTGAAGCTTTTCAGGCAGACAGCCACTGAATCTCCTCTTCAAATAATGAAAATGTGAAACTGTCTTAATTTTTGCCCGCAGGAAACGGTACCCACTGAGTATTATAGTCAGCGTGTTTGCCATCATTCTTGGGGCTTTCATAGCAGCTGGGTAAGGTTTTAGTTTGTTACATGAAACCTTGTTATGAGGGGAGGGAAAACAGAAGGTTTTTTCCCTGGTTTAGTTCCAAGTAAACCTAAGCTTAGATCAGTTACTCTGGAATAAATTGATTTGTAAAATCTCTCTGCTGACATCGCTGGGAGGTGCAGGAATATTTTGATTCCTGCTGCAAGTATTTGAGTGCTTCTGTTTTCACCTCTGGGTTTTCCATGTTTGCAGGATCATAAATGAAGCAAGCTAAAGCTGTGTGAGGAATGTTGCTTTTATTTCATGGTACCAGTGTATTTTAATATTCTTAGAAAAAAATAATATTCCTGTCCTGGATAGAAAGACTGATTTTTCTGATTGTCAGATATTGAGTTAGGTATTGTCTATTTTTTTAATCACTTTGAATGAGTTCAATTGTGAGATTAAGTTCACAAAGCACTCATATGCTGTTGTCCTGTGCTTGCTTTCTGTTTGAATATTCCTTTACCTAATTGGAAATGTAATGGGGTTTTTTGGTTTTTTTCTTGGCTGTGTGCAAGGGTAGATAATTTCCATGTGATGTGACTCAGATAGAGCCATGTCCTATTAAGTGAATTACCCTATATCCACAAGGTAACTAGTCGAAACAGAAAGGATGACAATATGTCTGGCCTGACTGTAACAAACAGTCAGACTTTATTCCCTAGCTACTTTTTGTATTAAAAGTAATAGGTAAGTACACTCAGTAATAATTGGGCTGGTTGTCAGGGCTGAGATGGGTGGAATTTTTCACTGAATGAAAACTGAACATTTCCTGCCACTTTCACACTGACTGCTGGGAACTCTCCAGTGGCTCATTTGTGAATGTAGATTACTTTGACTTACAAAAAGAATGCTTGAAGCAAAACCTGTGACTTGCTGGAGCTGTCAGGATTTGCATATCCTCATTTACAGTGTCCCTCTGGGCGAGCAAGGCAATGCAATGCAATGCATACTGTTTGCTTATTTACAGTGTAATGTTTCTTCCCCAGGTCTGATCTGTCTTTCAATCTGGAGGGCTACATCTTTGTGTTGCTGAATGATATCTTCACAGCAGCAAATGGAGTTTACACAAAGCAGAAAATCGATCCAAAGGTAACTGTGGGGTGATTAGATTGAGTTTAACTTTATGACAATACGATAACAGTACGATAAAATTACTTGTTATGTAATTTTATGTACTTAACAGTTATGAACTGATAAACAGTTTCATTTACTTTCACATTTCTGCTGATATATGCGTCTTTAATACAGAACAGCCTGGGAAAATTTGTTATTTGAATCACTGGCCAGGCTTAGGTAAACAAACAGTATATTTTTCAGTTTCTCCCAGGTCTCCTAGGCAGAGTTTGTGGTTACTTTAAAACCTTGCTTTTGGCAAAAAAATAAAAAAATAAAAAAATTAATCCAAACCATAAATGAATTGTTGACATGTGAATTTGATATATATTTATATAAGGAAGATGACTTTTTGGCTAGAAACACACTTTAAGTGACATTTATGTAAAAGAAAGAAAGGCCTGAAGTGGAAATTAAGCTTAGTACGAAACAATGAATCCAAGGATCACAAGGCTGTGTTTTAAACTGAAATGTGTTATGTCCTGTCTGCTCATTGACAATAATGTCAGGAAGATTGCCAGAGTCATATGTAGTATTTTGCTCCCAAGTGGCTTGTAGTTCCAAACACCATCTTCCATTTTTTCACAGGAGCTGGGAAAATACGGTGTCCTGTTCTATAATGCTTGTTTCATGGTGGTTCCAACAGTTATTATTAGCTTTTCCACTGGAGACTTTCAGCAGGTAAGTATTGCATATCTCAGACTGACAACTTTGCTTAGCTCAGGTTTTTTCCACTTGGGAAGGGTGTGGGCTTTTTGTTTGTTTCTAAAGAGGTAATTCTACATCCATGTTACTGACTAGTATATGAAAAGTGTGACTTGGACTTGCCCTTCACAGGTAGGAACTTGTGATTATTCACTTAACAAGAAGGTGAATTTGTGTGGTAGTCCTCATATGAGGCTTTGTTTGAGAACTAATGTGTGTGTCTCAGCTGGAGCAATTTGGTTGATAATCCAACTACACTATGTGTTTGCCACATGCTCTAAAATAAAATTGGAAACACAAGGACATTTCCAGTCCTTCTCTCATTTTGGTGTGCAGGACAGATTTCTGTTTAGTCTTAGTCTAGTTTGATAACCTACATTTTGCATTCTTAATGCTCAGTTACCTGAAAAGAATAAATATATATCAGAGAGATCCAGTTTGCCTGTTGTGTATTGCATTGGCTTGGTCACTCAAAAAAAAAGTCCTGTTAAATGATGCAGGTAACCAGTGTCAATGTGACAGAAATTTAATCACAGAAAAAAAGGGAGAAAACGGAAAAATACTGACGAAAAGTGAGCAAATTATTGTAGATATCACAGGTATTTATCAGATTTCCAGGCCAGCTTTTATCCTAGCAGGACTTATTGTCCTACTCCATCACAGACAATGCACAGCATGTGTCTTTTGCCAGTCAAAACATCAGTACCATGCCTGTGTGATAAGGACATTCCTTCTGCTCCTCTGGCTAGTTGTGGAACGACAGCTAACACCTCATGCAGACTGTAGTTTTTGAGTGTCCCATTATTCACTTCTCTTTCACCAGCTGGTCCACTATGAGGACAGCTAAATGCACTGAACTGTTTCCAGTAGTAGTATAAATTATTTGTAATTTTAGTATGAATTAAATGTATTTTGTGATTTTGCACATTTTTGTATTAAGCACGTTTTATGTGTGTTTACAGCTGATTATATAGCACATAATTCTCTCTCTCTTTTTTTTTTTTAATAGGCAATACGTTTCCAGCACTGGACAAATTTTTTATTTCTCTTTCAATTTACTCTTTCCTGCTTTTTGGGGTAAGGACACAGGGGGAATCAAGCAAGATGTTTTTGTGACAGTGTTTCAAATTGCAAATCTCAAATGTAAGACTCACTAATAAGTTATGTTAGAGTTCAAAGAAGATGGGTTTTTTTCCCCCCGGGCTTCTGTTGTGTCTTTTAATTGTTTCTAATGTTTTAAATAACTGTTTCAGTACTATCTGTGTTGTTGACCTCACAATACAGTGCTTAACAACCTGATATTTAGCTTTGTACTTTCTGTACTCTCTCTTCTGTCTGTCTCTTCTGATCATTTAAATGTTTTGCAGTTAATGGCACGTAAGTCCTTCAGTATAGGAACTGTTTCAGTGTGTTTGTTCTGTAAAGTAGCTGGGGAAAGTGTGGGAGACTCAAAAAGCAGTGAACCAATGCTTTGTTCCTGCTGGAACTGCAGAGTCAAACGAAGAACAGAAGAATGAGTTGCATCTTGTTTTCTCTTCCACACATCACCAACCAAGGGGTCGAATTAATTTCAAGAACTGACATTTAAAAAGCACAGAGAAGAGGGATGGCTCTGCTGGAGCTCAAGCACATATTTTGAATATTTAACTTAAAATATAGATCCACGGGTTTGTTTGTTTTTTTTTAGGGTTTGAAACAGGTGGGATTGAAGATCCCAGAAAAATACTGACCCAGAAAATGTTGAACATCTCAAAAGTGTTGCTAAACTTCTGAGCTCCCTGGGAAGAATTTATAAAATTTTCTCTGTTATTTAGGTTTCTCTTGATGTATTCTACTGTCCTATGCAGTCATTACAATTCTGCACTCACGACGACAGTAGTTGGTGCCATCAAGGTGAGTTATGGAGCAGAAGAGGGGAAACAAGAATGCTCAAATAGCATTGGCTCAGCAGTGATTCTAATTATACTCTGAGATGGAAAGTCAAAATGAGAGCTAATAGTGAGACACTGCTTGTGCCCAGCAGGGTCACACCACAGAGTGACCTTGTTCTCTTCCACTGAAGCTCATGTGTGCCCCAGAAAGCAATGTTAGTGTTGGTTTATATTTTGTTTTCCTACAAGAATAGCTCTAACCAATTTCATTTAAAAACTTACATTTAACCACATTTCATCAGGTACTACCTGCTTCAGTTCTTTATCAGGTTATTGTGTGTTAGTCAAGGTGGCCTGCTGCAAATGCAGGTGAACTGACACAGACTAAGCTGAAGTAAGGAGCATATTCCTTTTTGTTTGACTGCCTCAGCCTCTGTGTGAGAATTTGTCTTCCAGCTGAATGGACTGTTTCGTTTTGGCTTGTACAAATTCTGATCAATTTGATCAGGAGCAAAACATGCACATCTTAAAAAATTGGTTTCTTAAAAACTTGGTGTCTTTACAGTCTGTTTTCTCTGACAGGGTTTAGTTTAAAACCAGTGCAGCTTCCTTGCTGTTGTTGAGGCCAACTTGTCTGAGCTGGGAACATCTCTGACTGCCCAGGCACCTGGAACAGCTTTAGCAGGAGATAAAACTGGTGCAGTTGTGGGCCAAACCCTATCAGAATCCAAACTAGTTCAGGCACAGCAATAACAGTCCTCAAGGTCACCCCTTAGGTGGGTGACTAAGGAAAACAATACCTCCAGCACAGCAAAACCTGCAAAAGGAGGATGGTGCTGCACTTTCCACAGGTTTTTTTTTCCCCTTTTTTGAAAGCTGGCAAGATTAATGTAGTAGTTTTCATCCTGTGGCCCTGAAAGTGTTCTTTACATTTTAGATGTCTGCATATATTAAGTCAGAGCAACACAGTTTCTGTTTTCTGAGCTGTAATAGTCCTTGAGACACTTTGTGCAGCTTTAAAGTTGAGAAGCAGTTTATGATGCTGCAGAGTCCAGCAGAGGCTGGTAGGAATGATGTTGTTGTCCAGGTTAGGTGCAAAAACATCTGAAAGCAACAAAGTGTTGGTGAAATGATCACACAGTTCTATAGCTTCCTTTCTATTTTTAGGAGACATTTTTTCCAAAACTTGAAGGGGGTGGGTGAGAGTTAGAATCTTTAACTTTAAACTGTGCCTGTCTGGAACTGATGCCCAGTGCTTTCAGTGCACATTTAGCTGGCAAAATAAGCAGATAAACCTTTTAAAGTAATAATAAAGGAATTTTATTGTAACTTTTAAGTGTCCTTTTTATGCTTGAGAACCCAAAACGCACTTTTAAGAAATGGGATTTAAAGGGAGCCTTCCAAAGATTATTAAGAAGTAGATTTCAAAAGGTGGCCATAGCTCCATTTTGCCTAATATCAAGTGGCTGATTTTCTTTTTTTTCTTTTTTTTTTTAACCCAGAAAATCACTCTCAGTGCATTGCATGCATTTAGAAAACATGCTGATTTTATTATTCTGTTTCATTCCTACATTATCCATAAGGCTGACATCACATGAAAGGAATTTAAACACTGATTTTAGAGTGGTCAGTAACAGAGTAAATCTGTTTCCCTAGAAAAGTAATTTAGTTGATATCACTTATATTCATGGGGATGAAACCTGAATTAAATAAATGCCTGACTTTTTTTTTTCCTTTCAGAATATATCCATCGCTTACATTGGAATGTTGATTGGTGGAGATTACATATTCTCTGTGCTAAACTTTATAGGCCTAAATATTTGGTAAGTGCAAATTGAATAGCCTTTATTTGTCAGAGCTGAACATTTCTCAGTGAGCTGCAGATTTAAGGGTTGTTTGATTTGGCCCATTTGGGTGCTGCAGTTTTGACCTGATGAAGCCCTGCCTCGGGAGGTAAAAGTACATTACAGTTAGTTAGACACATTTTATCATGTCTGTTTTCAGATATTGAATTTTTTCAGGTATTGAACCCTGTGGTAGAGTCTTAACTGTGGAAGTATTAGTAAAACTGTGAAGTTTTACTGTGTGGGATTGAATTGATTTTTTTTTTTTAAATGAGCAGCAGTTCTGAGCTGCCAGGCTTGCAAGCAAAACCCCAGTGGTGTGGGAAGTGAGAGCACTGACTGAATAAGTTGTGCACATTGAATGTTCAAGTTCTGACTCGTGAGCTGTTGCTTTTTGTGCTTGGATGAGCTGTAACATCTCTGTGTGTGTGAATCTGTGTGAGCAACTGGTGATTGATCTTTGCCTGCTTGGGGCTGGCTGCTCAGATGTCACTCCTAATTTATGGGAGCTGGTGTTCTTTAGTCCTGTGGAAGGAAAGGACTAAAGGATGCTATGAAATGGCACCTGTAACATCAGACATCTCTGACACTGCTGTTCATTATTCCCTTTTCTTTAGCATGGCAGGAGGACTGAGGTACTCATTTTTAACACTGAGAGGAAGCAGCCAGCCTGCACGACCTGGGGATGAAGAGAATGCACTTCCTGCCTCCAAGAGTTAGCCAAAGTGCCTGCCTTGGAAGGGACTGAAGACACAAGTGTGTTTAGCATTGCTGAGAACTTAAATAACCATATGATGGGGCACATTTGGAACTAGAAAATCTACCTCGATTGTCACGGACGTGATTCATTGGCTCAGAAATGTTCTTGCACACCATGTTTTTTACATATAGACTAGTTTAATTTCAGGGTTTTTTTTTTTACACCACAAGCCAATTTATAGGAAGGAATGCTGTGAGCAAATCTCAAGCTGTAAATTTCTGTGTTTACCTGTGTTTGGGTGCTGTTTGCACTCACCAGGATCTGTGAGTTCTGTTTCAGTGTCTGCCAGTCGTCTCTTGAGGCAAAATTCACTTTAAAGACGGTGAAGCCCGACTCACCATTGCCTTATGCCACGTGCAATCCTTACTGTCATTGAAGAGATCAAAAATCCTGGTGGTGCAGACTGTTTTCACCTCTGCATTTGCCTTTGTGTAGGTGATACAGAACCCCAGATTGTTTCCTGTGTAAGTATTGACTAAAAAAATTGGGGATATGTCCAAGTGTGCTCAGTATACATTGTGTAGGCATTCCCTTTCAGTCTTTTCTTCATCCTCAATAACACCCCGGTGCTCTGCTGCAATTGGCACTGTTATAAGTGAATCCTCATAACTCTCAAGGAGAGTAGGAAAATAACAGAGGGTTTTTTTAGTATTTAAAGGTGTTTGTGTGTGTGTGTGCGAGAGCCAGTACCAAAAAAAAGTAAATCTATTTTTGTTTACATGAGTTTTTCTTTTAAAATCATGATCACCTCCTCTGATATTTTGTCTGTATCTCGCTGCAGAGAAGTGATGCTGCTATGTACAAACATAGTAGGGAGGGGAGACTGGTGGGTATATGGAAGACTAACTTGTGTTTAAATGAGAAGAAAGGCTCAGTGTCTTGTTGTATCTTTATATATATATACAGTGAAAGCTTGTCTGGTACTAGTTTATGCTTTAAATTCTGAGCAAGGAATCATTATAAGCCTGGGGTTTGCTAGAGTAGGCACAGCCCACACTGTGATGGCCTGAGTTATCATCTGGGACAACAGTGACACTGCTCTGTATCTGTATTTCCTTCTTTGAAAATGTGGTTGACAATGCTTGCCTGTGCCTCTGAGGATAAAGTGTTAACCTCTGAAAACTTGACAGAAGCACTGCAGCACTGGAAGACAGCAGAGTGATTAATCTCATTGAAAGTCTCAATTCCCTGCAAGCACGGGCCAAGATTTTTGAAAATAATCAAATCAAAAGAAGATTTTGGAAGAGTTTGACGTGGAACCAGCGTGGTCTGATGACTTTTTTTATCCTCCTCTGAATTAAAGCAGAGCTAAATCTGTAAAGCATTACTCTGTGTGTAGCACATGGATGACCAGCCTGGATTAGGTTGGAGAGATGTGGGTGGATCCCACCAGAAGCTTCAGGGAACGAATTTGAATGGCAAGTGAAGCAGTGACTGGAGATGCTGCAAGCGGAATTTAAGGGCACAGTTGAAGTGAAAAGAGAAATCTGAGCTCTCCATTTTCTCCCAGCTGGCCTAAGAGATGTGACTTGCATTTTCTACCTGTTGAAGGTCTGGGGAGGGAAGGGTTTGCTGCAAATATTTTAAGAGTTTTTAAGGATTTCCTTTATACTTAAAAAGCCTTCAATATTTTTGAGTGCATTCTTTTGTAGGACTCCTCTTTTTCCAGATCATCTCTACCTCCACAATCCGAATTATTGAACCTCAACCCTCTGCAGTGAGACAAGGCATTGGGAGGTTTTCATTGATTATTAAATGATTGTGAGTGCCATTTGATTGCAATACTGATGAACAAACAATGGCACCCGCTAAATAAGATGTAGTTCCCACCAAGGAACACCTACTTTGTGCATTGAATTAATTAATATTTTGCTGTACCTTTTATAAATAAAAAGATACGTATTATGGTTTTAATAAGTTTTTTGATTTTTTTTTTCCCCCTGTGGATGGACACCTGCTCTCAAACACATGCACAGGACAAATATTTGCTTTCTATATGACCAACTGCTATAGCATCCTTGAGGCAGTTTCATTATTTCATTCTGTACCACAGTGGAAATTACTTTATTTAGTTCGTTGTTCATGTAATATTTTTGGGGTGCTTCAGACTTAGGCTTCTCACCTAAAATACAGACCTGATTTTCATAGTCTTTATGATAGTATTACTCTGAATTATTTAAGAAATACATTTAGGAATAACAACAAGTTGGTACTATCTAGAAGGACTTGCAAGTGCTTGCATACTTTCACAAAGCAGCTCAGCTTCAGTCACTATTTTCCTCTGTATCTGCAGAGATAATGTAAAATATGTAAATTTGCTGTTTAAAACCCTGAGAATATGGGCTCAACCAGGCACAATATTGTGTTAGAATTTAGACAATTACAGAAAGGGCTGTTTCATTCAGAACCTCAGAAATTGTGTCTTTCAGCTGATAAGATAGGAATTTAAAGCTGATTTTTGTTAGATACAGCTGTTGATAGTCCTTACCTTTTCTACAGATTTCATGTTAATAAAATTAAGGTTTTAAAAATGACACTGGAGTCAAGGTATATTTACAAGGGAACATGCACAGAAAAACAGTAACTGGACTAGCAAGGAATATTGTCCTGTACCTTGATCTGTTCATACTCTAAATTTCAGGGGGATTTCTTAGCAGAGCTGCAGTGGAGTGAGATTTAGAGACAAAAAAATATGGTCACCCAAAGAACTTCCTATCTATGCACTTTGTAAAGTTCTTGCAGTGATTCCTATGAAAGTCAGAGAGGCAATACCTCAGACAAAAACCTTAGACTAGGCTCAATAAACAAGTCTTCACATTCATAAGAATTTATTAATTTTCCTCTCAGTATCTAATTCACTGCTAGGCCCCTGAAGTTCCATAGACCTGTCTGAGACTCATTGTTGACCTCAGGAAAACAAAAAATGACAGGGTAACAGGGAAGAGTGGAAGAGCAAACTGGCAGCTATGGAAGTCTGTGTTTTGAGTCCATCATCAAATTTAAGGGATTTTTAAAATTATTATTATTTTAATTTAGAGGAGGTATTCAGCATTATTTTTGCAAATGGAAACCAGTGAACCTTGTTCAAATTTAAAGCATTCCTTGAATACTGAGTGATTCATTGGGTAATTTGTGATTGTTTGGCTTTTTTTTAAAATTTGACTGGCCTTACCTATGAGGTAAAACAAAAGTGGAAAAATTAAGACAGCTTTAGTGTGAGGAAACTGGGTTATTGTTAAGTTAAGATGGTAATGATATTTTTATCTTCTTGTTTCAGATAGTGTTACCTTTCTTGTGATTCGGACTTTACTTGTGATCTTTACTTGTAAAGCATCTTCATATTGTGGTTTTCTGTCTGAAGGTGTCAGTAACACGACATGGTAAATTTTTTTGTTCTGGTTTCAGCATGAACTTGCCCTGGAAATGTCTGGGCTACAGCTTAACTCTTCGCTGGAAGAAGTGCTGTTGATCTGTGTTATCCCCAGGGTTTGGAGTATTATTTTTCAGGGTTTAGGTTTAGACCCGTCTTTGATCTCTGCAAATGTTAAAAACGACAATAAAAATATTTTTATTTTTGTTTTCGTGTGGTTTTCCAGAAAAGGAGTGAAACCTTCGCTCTAAGGCAAGCACCAGAAATCATTGTTTAGTTTGGATTTTTTTCAGTAGTTTACAAATGTGGTTGTAATTTATCAACATTATTCTAATCTAAACCCTGGATACTCCTTGGAAAACACGAAATCATGTGGTTTGATTGGTCTTCTCACTTCTGTCCCTTCAGAACAAAACACAGTTTCTGCTAACTGTGGTTTCCTTGATTTCTTTTCCTTTTCTCCTAAAACTCTTTGGATTCATGGGCCTGAAGATTTTTGGTTACTTGAGGAGAATAGAGAAATAGTCAAAGTGGTAACAGCTCACACCCTGACGTGTGGATGGGAATTCTCTCCCCATTCCTACTTCTGATGTTTTTTGCTCTACTGCAAAGGCCTTCATTTTAACTGCATATCCTTAGTTTCCTGGTATGTGAAGCAGCCAGTTTATGTCTAGCACATGTTCTCTGCTTTTCAAAGTAACTTTTCTTTGCTCCAGTGTGTTTTTTTTTCCGAAGTGGTGACCTCTCCTTAATGGTTTATCATTAATGAGCTGAATGTGCTCTAGTCTAAAATCTTCAAAGGCTGCAACTTGGCAGTGCTTTTTTTAAAGATAATGTGCATTCTCATGAAACAACAGAAAAGTTTAATGAACACCTTCTTCTCCCCATTGATCACTGATGTCTTTCTTAAGCTTGTTAGATGATCAGTGTGAAGGAAGAATGAACAGGTGCTGCAGTTTCTGAGTCCCTTGGATACAGATGTTGCTGGAAGTGGCTTCTTGTTAAGAAATGACCTGAACACTACACTCGTGCTTCATTCCTTCCTCCTGCCTTAGAGACTTGATGTGACTGGGTTAAATATACTTTTAATTAGCACATCTCACAGTGGATTAATAAGAAATTAAATCCATACCTCTGCAGAAGACCTCCCTGAATACCAGATGCTTCCAAAGGAGTGCATGAGTCCCATTTTTATTGAGGTGGGGCAAGGACCTCCCTTCTGTGCATGACATGAGGAGCAGCATGTGGAACTTTCTGTGTAAAATCCTTGTTTCCAATGAAGGTTGGGAGACTTCTTTCCTTTATGCTCTGTTTTCATAAACAAAGTCTTCCGGGCCCAGTAAAACTCAAGAGTCTTGGATAATTCCGTGTATCCTGTGGCACATGAGATTCTGAGAATCATGAACATTAAAGTTGCCATATAGAAGCTTGTTTCCCAACAGACTCTTTAATTTCCAGGCCTGCTAAGCAGGTAAAGATTCACCAACTGCTTCCCTGGGATCTCATTTCTCTGTGAAATGAGAGAGTAATTGCTCTTCTGTTGGCAGCAATTAACCATTCAGAAACATCTTTCTTTCCCCGTGTCTCTTGCAATTTAGAAGTCCTTAATCCGCATTTTTTCGATATTGACTATTTTTTAATTTGCTCTGAAACTTGCAAGGTTTACCTCGTACTTGCTTTGGTACTTTGCTACTTTATTTCTTCTTATTTCTGCAGTGGTCATGGGAGCAGGAGATGGGCTTGGAAAAGTATATCCCTTTGAGGTAAGTTAGAATATTTACCCCTCAGTTTATTTTAACAAAATGGCCATTGCTATCCCTCCCTCGGCCTCTGCAAGTCAGTAGGATTATTCTAGAATTCAAAGCTACTGTGACAAACATGGTGCTAATCCTTCTCCCCTGTATGAGCAGAGTAGTGTTAATGAAATTCTGAAAGGAAACTCGTGCTGCATTTCAGAGAAAAGTCATTCAGGCCTCAGTGGTCTTGTCAAACCAGGGAACTAAAATGAATAATCCATGAACGTCTGTCCAGAGTAGGAAATCTCCTAAATGGTCCGTTTTTTCCCCCAGTT